CTATGAAAACCAAGGCAACAGTCATCCCCAAGCTCATTAGAGGCGACCATCCCTGTCCCCAAGCCTGGCTTCTGGCACATTTCCCACAGATTTCATGGCAAAGCTGAGCCAAGCAGAGAGAAGAGCCTGGAGATCCGTGCTGGTGTGGCAATGCAAACTTGCCCTGAGCTTCATTTACACGTTACTGTACTGGGCCAAATTTCAGGGAACAAGGCATTCAGCATTTAGATTTTATCTGCCATATGAGTCAGCTGAAACAACCAAATGTAATGTCTGTGTGATGACCTCAATCCAACGTTTTGGGTTAAGACAACCGTCTAAAAACAGGACTTTCACATGTTAGTTAATGAATTTTAGAGAATCTGACTGAACTCAGTAGGTCATATGGATCCCTTCATTATATTTTGGACCAAAATGGTGAGAAAAAATCCCAGGTAGAGGTTAATGGTTTTTCCCCAAGTCCAAGAAGACCTGACCCAGCCCAAGTTCAGCAGCTGCTGCAGCATCCCCCTCCCTCCTTTCCATCTGCATCCCCTCCCTCACAACCACACATCCCTCACAATTCCTCCCCATTCACCCCACAGCCTCACATACAGCCTCTTTCATCCTCCCCCATTTCCCCCATCCCCTCAAACCCCCTTCTGTTTCCATGTCTCACCTCCCACTCCTCCATCCTCCCTGCATCCCCCTCCAGCCTCCTCACCCATCAGCCCCACGTCCCCCCCACAAACCCTGCACCCTACATCCCCCTCTCACACCCCTCACACGTGCTTGCATCCTCTCCCATCCCCCTGCAGCCCCACTCCTCCCTCCTCCCCACATCCCTCCATACCCCACACATAGCCCCTGAATCCTCCCACATCCCCCATCAGACCCTCCACACCCCTCCACCCTCCCCCATCCACTACACATCCCCCTCCACCACTCTCTGCACTTTCCCACCCTCCAGAGGGGAAAGTGCAGCATCAAGACTGTGCTTTGGGGTCTTTTTGGTGCAAAGTGCCCCCAAAGCGTTGCTCCAGGATTAAATTTTTCTTCCAGAAGGGCAGAGTAGATCTCCCCTTTCCTTGCAGGTGTGGAGCAGAGAATCAGGGCCAGGCCACCGCCCCCAGCAGCAGGACACCCCCTCACAACACCACCCCGGTGTCCCATCCTGATGGAGCACCACCTCGTACAAACACCCATGTCATTAATCTTCAAATCCCCTGGCTCCATGGAGCTATATTTAAATTGACATTGATGAAAAAGCAGAACCTTTCTCAGGTTTCTTTGAGATGCTTCATAAAAAGGGAATTTAGGATGTTTGTGCTGGAAACTCACCTAAAGGGTTTTTTGTTAATAAAAACCATCATAACGTTTGCTGATTACTTGTGACCTGATTAGCCTTTAAACATGGGAAGGACACACTCTTTCAGCCTGCAGTCCATGCCATTCTACTTCATTCACAAGCAAAACATGCAGTGTTTTACCTACACTGGTAATTAAAATGGTTGGGTTCCCTGGCATGGATGCATTTCTGCCAAAATAAATGTGTTATGCCAATACAGTTTATTTATACACAGGAAAAAAAATCGGGTGTATTAGCTACAAATATACTTTGCTGGCCCCAGAATTATACAGCACTGACAAACGACCCTCAGGTTGGGGGAGCAGCTTTTCTGGCAGCTTTGGGATGCTGCAGAGAGAGATCATTCCCACAGGCAGAACAGGGCTCTGAGGGGAAATTCCAGCGCTGAACAGTCACCCAGATCTTCCCCACGGCTCCTGTTGGACACCTCTGAGTGTCCGGGCTGACACGGCTCTGCTGCCGCAGCGTTGTGGACGTGGGTGTCTCCCATCACAGCCTGACAGCGCCCACACTGGTTCATTACAGCTGTGAAAGGTAATTAGAAAGTGAAACAATTATGCTGCACTAATCTAAATTATCCACCTGCGTGCAGGTGAGGCCCGGTGTAATCTCCTTGTGGTCGTTCACCAGCCAACGAAGTTTATTGATGCTGGTCGAGGAGAGCCCCAAAGCCCTGCTTTCAAACGCCCGGAGACACTTCCAAACACCTTTGGAAGGGCTGTCACTGACGGCTGGTGGTACCTGGCTTGGCTTTTCAAACAGAATTATGGAATCTCCGGATTCTTTGGGCTGGATGGGACATTAACGATCATTTCATTCCACCCCCCGGCCGCGAGCAGGGACTACCCATCCATTCGAGTGTAACTCACTGGGACCCGTCTGCTCCCGGCTCCGGGCTGCTGTCACTGAGCTGTGATGCCACACCAGCCAGCCTAGCACCTGGAGAAGCTGCGGGAAATCATGGGAAGTTAAACTTCGACAGGAAACAACACACGAAACCGTTAAAAGATGAAATAATTTAAATATATAATTTTTGCAAGGGAAAAAACCAACAACAACAACAAAAAACAACCAATAAAAAATCCCATTAGTCAGGTATATTGTCAGATAACTCTAACAGGCTTCTCCTGTGCCCGAGGGGACTCTGGGTTTCATTAGCGTCGGTGAGGGGGCGGGAGGGCTCCTGAGCGCGGCTCGCTCCCGCTCCGGGCTGGACCCGGCTCCTTCCCAAGCGAAAGGTGGTCATTGAAGTTGTTACCAAGACGCTCCTGGGCAAGCGGCTCCAGCGGGGAGCCCGTCACGGTGCTGGAGGTACAGTGTGTTCATTCACGGCGTGTTCACACAGCCGCACACGGGCAGCGGGAGCCCGGGGCCAGCCGGGTCCTGTCCCACCCGGTGTGTCCTGCCGGGAGGAACCGCCGAGTCAGAGGTGGCAGAACAGCGCTGGAGAGCCCGGGAGGCTCCGGGCACGGAGCCAGCCCCACACGGACGGGGCTCTCGGGCATCTGCCAGAGGGCGAGAGAAGGTTCCTCCGAGCCCCCTTGGAGCTTTTCCTGCCGTGGAACAACAAGAAAAAAATTATCTCTGGATCCTGCGGGGAAGCGGCCGGTGCAGAAGCCGCGGAGAGAGGCCCCTGCGCAGGGTGCGCAGCCTGAGCTGGGGGCCCCCGGCAGGATCGGACCCGCTGCTCGGCACCGGCTCTGCAGAAAACCACCTTACCAGAGCATCCCAAATCCCTCCTGTTCTTCTCTCTCGCTGTCTACGAGAAAAAAAAAATACAATAAAATAATTTACCCTATTCAGTGCCTCCGTGATCTGCGGAAAAATAATCACTTTATGGTCTGCGAAAAAATAATCGCGTCTCCGCCACTTACGCAAGTGTGAAAAGAAAATTATTAAGATTCTATCGCGAGTGGGATAGCACCGACTGAAGGCCGGCTATTCCAGCCCTCTGTGTGACATCGGTGATGGACACACCTCGTCGTTCTGTTAATTTGGGTTAAAGCGCCAGTGAATCTCCCTTTTAATTAAAACCAGCTGCTGTTCTCACATTCACTGAAGTCAACAGAAACAGTAGCCAAAAGTGACAATGAAGTGACAAAGCCACACGCCCACCGTGCCCTGCCGCGCCGAGGGACCCCGCAGATCCCCGGCTCTGTCAGGCCCGCCGCCGCCTTCCCGCTTCCCAGCATTCCATCCTTATCCCCAGGTTAAACAAAACGTTTCCAACGACTTGTTTGCTTAAATACATGAGTCATTTCAATGTAAGAATATGAAGTTGTTTCCTGTTTACCCAGCACCGGCCGTATCCTCCGTCGCTCATCCCGGGAGCTGATTTAACCTGGGATGGAGGAGGCCCCGGGCACCTCCCGAGCCGGGCAGGAGCAGGAGGTACCCCGGGCCCTCCGCGCACCCGCTGCAGCGGCGAAACGAGGAAAACTGCGAACGAGCGGGACGAGCTGAGCGCAGTCACCTCGGCACCCGCCGAGGGCTCCACCGGCGGCGGCTCGGGGCTATTTTGAGTGAAAGCCCATGTTGTCCGCTGTGCTCCTCTCCCACCGGACCGCCGGCTTCGTGCCCTTAGCACGGGCTGGAGCGCTCCCGGGAGCGGGGTGGTCCCGCACCGCAGCCCTGCTGGCCTGGGGGCACCCCGGGGGCGGGCAGGGAGGCACCGACTGACCCCGAGTCGCGGGTGTTAATTACCGTCGTTAATTGGGAGGCGCCCCGCAGCAGGGGCTCAGCCCGGGGCTGTCCCGCCGCTCCCCACCCTCTGCAGTGCTGCTGGTTTTCAGCAGAATGGCGGTAATCGCATTTCTCGGTAGATGCTCTGTAATTTGACATCCCGACGGAAAACGAGGAGCGGGGACTCGGAGAAAACAAACAAACAAACCAACCAAAACAGAAACCACCACAAAAAAGCCCGAACAACAAAGAGCCGAGATTTTGTGCTACGTTGCAGCCGCTCACGAAGAGGATTTTTTAAAAGTATCATTTAGTGTGCACGGTGTGGGAAATAATTAATCCATTTGTCAGTATTTAACGTATCTTTAAAATGCAAAAGCATCCGAATTTAACCAAAGAAAGATTGAGGGTTTGGCCTCTCTCGGCCACGGGCAGCCGAGCTGTCGGAGAAAGCGATGGGAGAATCTTCCCGGTACCACCGCGCTTTTTCTGGAACTTGGGTTTGAATCTCTAACCTGCCTCCGCGGGAGGAAAAAAAAACCGAAAAACAAAAACCAGAAGTTTAAAAACAGTAACCCCAAACCATTACGTTACTCAGAGCAACAGTTCATAAAATACTTTATTGAAATAAAGTAAATATCTTCGCATTAATAAAACGGATCATAAAATGCAGTTTTCGAATAACTAGGGGCACCACAGGGTTTTAGACAGCGAGTAGATGTGGAAGGTGGGATCCAGTGTCCTCCTGGCCCCTCGGGCCGTCGCACAGCACCGCGGCCGTGGCGCAGCGCTCCGCGGGCGCGGAGAGGGGCGGTGGGGCAGGAGCGCGCCCGTCAAAGCGTCCAAATCTCCCGAGTCCGAAGGCGGCCGCAGCCACTGTCCGAGCTGCCCTCCATCCCCTTCCCCCGGGCCCGGAGGGTGCGGGGCCCCGCGGGCAGCGCCCGGGGGCGACAGGGCGGGCGCTCGCCCCTCACTCCTCCTGGCTGACCTCGGCCGGCGAGCCCAGGCTCTCGGGCGGCTTCTCGGCGTCCCGGGCTCGCTCCTGCTCCGAGAGCTGCTCGCTGCTGGGGATCGAGTTCTTCTTGGGGCGGCCCTTCGGCTTGGTGGGGGACTCCAGGCCGCCCCCCTGCAACACCTGCGAGGCGGGGAGGGGGCAGAGGAGGGGGATACCCCGGTAAAACAGTGCTGCCTTCAGCCCGGGGCGCAGGAACCCCTCTCTCCCCCGTCCCCCGGAGCGAAGCACCGCGCCGGGCCCAGGCTGAGCCGCCGGTGCGGGACCTGTCGGGCTGTGCCCACCGCCCTCCGCCCCTGGGGGACGATCGGTACCGCGGGAGGGCTCGGACAGAACTGGGCGAGGGGCGTCCGGCCGAGGCCCAGGCGGTGCTGGACTTAAAGGCCAGGGGCATATTATTATTGGTTTTGTTATTATTATTATTATTATTATTATTATTATTATTATTATTATTATTGCTGCTACTATTGTTACTACTATCATCATCATCATCATTATTAGCCCAGGGCCGATACACAGGAGGTCGAAGCCCGCGGGGCAGCGCTCGATACCCCGCCGAACGCGGACACTGCGCGCCGAAGGGGCGGACGATTAAGGGACACTTACTATTTTCTTCCATTTCATGCGCCTGTTCTGGTACCAGGTTTTCACCTGGAGCTGGCTGAGCCCCAGCGATTCGGCCAGGTCTATTCTGTGGGCGAGAGAGAGAGGCGGTCAGCCCGGCAGCTTTCCTCTCGGATGGCAGCTTCCCGACTTTTTCAGGCACAATGAGCCCCGTCCCGCCGTCCGAGGGTCGCCATCGCCTACCTGTCGGGCGTGGAGAGGTATTTCTGCTTCTCGAAGCGCTTCTCCAGCCCCATGAGCTGCAGCTCGGTGAAGACGGTGCGGCTTCGGCGCCCCTTCTTGGCCTTGCCCGGCTCGGGGGGGCCCGGCTCCAACTTGCCACGAAGGTGCAGCTCCAGCGGGAGATGGGGCGAGGCGGAGCCGCCTTGCAGTCCCGAGCCGGCGGCCAGCAGAGCCGAGCCCAGCCCCGAGCAGCCCAGGGGAGCCAGCGGGAACTTGAACACGGCGGCCGGCTCCGCCTTCAGCACCGCTGCGGGAGAGAGGGGCCGTCAGCGCCGGGCAGCGCTTGGGGACCCCCGGGGCTGCAGAGAGCCTCGGTGTCCCGGGGACCAGACCCTGTAAGGAACCCCGGGCCCTTCTCCTCCTCCCTCGACACCTTCCCGGGGCCGGAGGGGTGCGGGAGCCCCGGGACGCGGGTCGGGTCGCGGATCCCCCCCGGTTCCATCGCCTCCGCGGTACCGGGTCATGCTTTACCCTTCAACCGGCAGATGCTAATCACGGAATGACTTAGGGGGGGTGTGTTCAAGTAAAAATAATTTAAATCAACCCAAAAGCGTTCTCCTCGGTGTCACCCAACAGCTGCCGGGCCCGGCGGGCGGCGGGGGCCGGGCACGGTCCCAGGAATTCCCTTCCTGGAATTTTTCAGGATATTTTCGACGTTGTGACAATTTCTATCCCTCTCCGTGAACCTCAGCCCCGCGATTTTCCTCTGAAGCAGCTCCCGAGGGGAGGGCAGCGAGCCCGTCCCCGAGGATGCTAATCCCCGCGGGCTGGGGCCGCCGCTCGGCCGGCTCGGCTCGGCTTTACCCGGTCTGGCCGGGCCCTGCTCGGCTCGGTTCCCTTCTCCGACTCGGCCCGGCCCGGTTCGGTCCTTCCCGGAGTCCCCGCTCCGCTCCCCGCCTGGGCCCGCAGCCCCAGCGCTGGTCCCGGCCCAGCAAACCCGGGCGGGCCGGGGGCTCGGTCCTGCTCGGCCCATCCCCTCCCAGCGACACGGGAGCGACCTCGGCGGCGTCTGGGGAAGGACCCTGAGGGGAGTCTCTGAGGGCTCTTCTCCTCGGCCCGAGCTGAAATCGCCTCCCTCCCTGCAGAGCCCGATCCTGCTCCCGCTGATCCCCCGAAACTGAGCCGTGAGTGATGCAAAGAGCCTTTTGTCTGATCCGCTATTCCAAATAGTTCTGAATAGTTCATCTTGAAAATATTACTGATTTCTAGATATTCTAACGCATGTCGCTCCCTTGCTCTGGGTCTTGACGCTTTACTCTTTCTCTCTTAAACGCAGGAAAAGAAATTGGGATCCTCCTTTTCCGTTCAGTTCTATAAGAGAACATCTATGAAGAGCGACGGCTCCGCAGACGAAGATGGCTTGGGAAGTGAAAGCTTTCGCCGTCACATATTTAAATACTGGCCTTTAAAATATATTATGTATTGGCCCTCAAAATATATTAAATACTGGAGTTAAAAAAACCTCCAACCATGTCGTTAATAAACTATGTTTGTCCTAAATACTATATCCGACTGGATAGAGCACGCTGGCACCCGTTTTAAATAAATATACCTCTAAGTATTATAATATAGATTATAATGTTATATCTTATATATTTTATATTATTATATAAACACAATATATTTATATATACTATCTTTATATTGTATATTTTATAATTATGTATAATATGTATTTATGTATATATATACACATAAATATATATGTCGGATTTCCAGTTAACTCTGTGACCGCAGGGCCCTGTGCCGCCACTTGCAGCCACACACGCACAGACTCCACTGCTTAGCTCCAGCAATTCCCACCTCATCCAAAAACACGGAAAAAAACCCATAAATTGAAAAAAAAAAAAAAAAAAAGCGAAAACGATCAACAACGACAGAAATTCAAAGGCCGTTCTGTGAAAGCGCCTCTGGAGCCGTAGAGCCGCATTCTTCTTTTTTAGGCCCAAAATACTGGGCTGCTCGAGGCTGGAGCGGCCGCGGCACAGCAGGAGCCGGCGGGATGCGCTCGGCCGGCAGAGCCCGGCAGCGATTTTTTTCAGGCAGAATTCGCGAGTTTTTCTTCCAGGAGCCCGGCTCCGTAGGGCGCTGGAGACCGTCAGCGGGCGATGCCTCCCCGCCTGCCGCCCCCAGCCCCCCCCCCCGAGCCGCGGGGCCCCCCGGGACGTACCGAGGTGGTTGTGGTAGGGCCGGGCGGAAAGCAGCGCCTGCACCCCGAACTTGAGCAGCTCCCCGGCCGGCGCGGCCCCCTTGGCGTCCGGGGGGTCGGTGAGGATCTCCTCGATCATGAAGCTGCGGTAGCGGTGGGAGCGGTGGTCGGGGAAGGCTTCGGCCGGGAAGTAGCGAGCGGCTCCCAACTCCAGCGGGTGCTGCATCCTCGCCGCCCCCGGGGCGCGGGGGGACCCCCGGCCGCCGGGGCCGCCCTAGCGCAGCCCCCCGGGCGGCAGCAGGACAGCGGGGGCTCTGCCCATCGCCCCGCCGCCCCCTCCCCTCCCCCTGCGCGGCCCCCCCGGCCCCGGAGCGCCCAGAGCAGCGCGGCGGCCGGAGCCGTGCCCGCCGCCTGCACACGGGGCGCGGCACCGGGCAGCGTCTCTCCGCCCCGGGACGGCGGCGGGGGCCTATTATACCGCCGGCCCGGCGGGGCCGTCAGCGCGGCGGGGGAGGGTGCAGGAGGGGCTGGCAGGAAGGAAGGGGCCGGGGCGGGCGAGTACCTGAAGCGAGGGGTTACAGCCCAGCATTTGATCCCCCGCCATATAAAGCAAATTAGCCGTTCTGCTCGCTGCGGGAGAGCAGACACCCAAACAACCGCTGGCCCCTTGGAAGGGCAGCCCCGGCCCCGGCCCAGTCCTCATGACTGTCCTGGTCCTCGTCCCCGGCTCTAGCCCCGTTCCCGTCCCCGTCCCCATTGCCATCTCCATCCCCATCCCCACCCCAATCTTCGATTCCAATCCCCTTTCCCGTTCCCGTCCCGACCCCATCCGCATGTCCTTCCCCATCCCCTGACGGGATAACCGCGGCTCCGGGGTGCCTCGGCCGATGGGGAGAGACACGGAACCAGAGGGACCCCCGGGGAGCCCCAGCCTCACGCCCCCTGCCCCGCACAGCCCCTGCCCCGCAGAACCGCCTGGGGCTCGGGGCCCTCGGGGCGGCCTCGGTGCCGTGACCGGGGGATTCCGGGGCTTGGAGGAGTCGAGGCAGCCCAAGGTCAGGGGTGCCCGTCGAGGGGCCCAGGCCCGACGCCTTCAGCCCTGGGCTCCCTCCCGGTCCTGGCCAAGTCTCTGTAAACAACTAAAAGGAACTGATCAGGGAACAAAACCCAGCACGAAGCGGAGCCTTTCCCTGGACTTTCTGAGCCTTTACACGAACATTTTACGCGGTACAACGGGGGTCGTTTAATTCCCTTTAGCGGATACCCACGAGCCGGCCCTGCTCGTCACTGATGTGCTTCGAGCCAGATTCGCGTGCGGGATCCCGAACGCTCATAATCCCCCCGAAAATGTCGGCACTAACAGATTAGAAGGGGATCGTTTCGGCGAAGCCCTGGCAAGGACTGTGGCTGGGCTCGGCCCCTGCCCGCGGCGTGGGTGGTTTTCAGGGGAGGTATCCCACGGGATCAGCCACGCGGGCCCACGCAGAGGGACGGAAGCCGGGATCATCCCCCGAGGAAGCCCAGCTCAGCCTCCCTCTTTATGACTTTTGACCAAAAAAGGGGCTTTCAGCCCGTTTTCTCGGTCGCTGCGGCCGCCGTGGGGTGTGCGGGGGATGCGCAGGGACGTGCAGAGCCGCCGTGGGATCCTGCCCGGCTCCGCTCCGTAATCCGTGAGCAAGACGGGACGGCCACGGGAGTCACCCGCGGGTTCCCTCGGTGAGCGCAGCCCACGGGGGGACGCGTCCCAGCGCTCGGCGGGGTCGGGGCCGAGTGTCCTGCCAATTCCCCCGGCCCCGGGCTCCCCCGCACCTCCGCGCTCCAGCGTTTCTCGCGGGTCCCCGTCCCCAAACACGCGCGGGGGGTCCCGCAACCAGCGCCCCGCAGAGCCAGGGAACAGCCCCGGGGTGGCTTCGCACCCGGCGGCAGATACGCAGGGCCCGGCTGCGGGGACCCCCGGGCCGGTAATTTGAATTAAATGGTGGGGAGGGGGTGGGTGGAGGCGTTCAGGGAACCGTGGAGAACACGAGGCCGCTCTGCTGTTCCTGTCAGCGCTACTTGAGTCCTGCTGCCGTTCCACTGTAGTACCCAACCCCGCATGCGACAACAACGCATTAATTTACGCTCTGTGCTTCCACTGCCCTCCCACATAACCTGTTCCATATGGTTACTGCCACTTGTACGGAGTAGTTTCGCGGGATTTTTCTGTTTTCTCCACGTTTCTTCAATTTAAAATTATGCCCCTCGCTCAGCGAAACACTAACGGGGCTGAGCCCCCGTTAGCGCCCCCGATACTCCCTCCTGTTAGGAAGTTGTCATCTATTCAGACATCACCGCGGTGTTTGGACTGCCAACGAGTTCGTGACACGTGCCAAAGCGGTGGCTGTGACCGGGAGCCGGCGGTGCCCTCCCGGTGGGGCAGCAGAGGGGACCGGCAGTGCCGAGCCCGCCCCGATGCTGCGCGGCCCCGGGGCCGGGCGCCTCCATCCCTCCATCCATCCCCCACTTCCCCTAATCCCTCCTGGGAATCTCTGGGCAGCGGTGTCCCTGTGCACACCTGCGCTCGGGGAGCCCCGACCGAGACCAGCGGGGCCCCGAAAATAATCAAAAAATCCCAAATCGAAACCCTGCCCGTTTCCTGACGTGGCTTTTCGTCCGCCCATCTTTTGTCCATCTGCTCCGCTTAGATCACAAGGTGTTTCCACGCCAAGGTGCTGAGTTCTTAGGGTCGAGACGAAAGAGGCCGTCGGAGCTATTATGATAGAACGAGGAGAATAATTATGAGTTAAGTGAGAAGAATTTTGGCCACATTCAAGCGAGCAGACAAATCGACATCGGATTGTTTAAACAACCTCATCTCCGAGACCAGCGCACTCGTAAACAGCGCCAGAAAAAGAAATTACCCACACCCCCTTGGTTTTTGTGTTTCTTTAAAATAAATCAAAATTCATGAATAATGGTAAATATTAACACTGCCACCCCCATCTCGGAGCAGGTTAGGATCAGTGCAGTACAGACACGGTATCATTTCCCATCATACGGCATCATCTTTGGTAATTTAAATTCTTATATTCCTTGTGATCCATCTGCACCGAGGCTGCTCATGCTACGACGGACAGTCGGAGGATCCCACATCCAACGCGGGAGTAGGCCTACAGCCCCCGAGCTCACAAAAAAAATAAGTTAAAATTAACATTAACATTTCTGTGAACGCTCCTATTGAAAGGTTTTGATGATGAGCTGAAGAAAGAAAGGATGAACTTCACCATCCGGTCGCTCTCACAGTCAGTAATTTAAAATTGTTGCAAAACAAATCCTGTAGTTAAAAGGATATCAGTAATAATAATAATAATTATTGTTATTATTATTGCGATTTTTACAGCGGCTTAAAATTGTGCAACTCCCCATGCTCTTAGAGAGCACGTAAACCCGCACTTTTATTTCACATCGATCTGGGCGGTAGATTCACGTTTATAAACAGCAGCGTCTCAGAGTGAGAGTTTGGCAAAATCCGTGGGGCTTTAGGGAATAACTGCATGAACAACCTGCAGGCCCCGAATTTTGTGCACTTCCCCCCCCCAATACTAGAATGGAATCACCTTTCTCTGCAAAATTGCTCTTCATTTACCGAGGGATTTTGAGTTTTTCGTTTGTTTCGTTTTTGGTTTTTTTTGTTTTGTTGTTGTTGTTTGGGGGGGTTCGGTGTTTATTTGTTTTGGGTTGGGTTGTTTTGCTGGTTATGTTTGTTTGATTTTTTTTGTTGTTGTTTTTTTTGCACCAGGGACAGACTTTACATAACTGTTAAACAGACTATTTCTGGAGTTAGGTTTTTTAAAAAAAATTTATACAAACGCACATAACTTGTTTCAGAAACTATCGACGCATCCATCTCGTTAGGAGATTGCTGTAATCGTCCTTTTATATCAAAGTGGAATGCATTTTTAGAGGTTCCTTTCGCTTACTTTCACGCTTCAGATATCTTGATGTCTCTATTTTGGCTGGGCAACTCAGACAAGGGTGACAGTTCCACCAGTGAAAATTTTGCAATGAAGAAAGAAACAATTCGCCCATTGATTTAAAACTCTTCCCGGGGGTAGGAATACTTTTACTCCGCTGATTAATTCCCGATTTGACGGGAAGAAGGGTTGTCCTGAGTTTTCGCGCATCGTCGGTCCCTCCGTTAGGTTCTCGCAGTTCTCCCGACTCCAACAACCGTAACGCGGAAAACAGCGAAATTCAAACTTTTCGCCTCCTGGATCCCTCGGGAATTATCCCAGCCGGGAAAAATATTTTTAATAACAAGGGCAGCACGGACCCCCGCGCTACAGACCCCACCCAGGGGTTCGGGACCGGCGAGGGCTCCCTTCGAGCACCGGGCACGGCTTGATAAGATCTCATGGAAGTCCCGGCTCTCCCCGGAGCAGAGGGGGCCGCCGTGCCCGGCCCCATCCCGGTCTGTCGAGGGGGTCCGCTCCGCAGAGCTGCTTAGATTAGCTAACAACTGGCGGGAGGGTTTTGCGTCAAAGCTCTCGATGCATGTTAAACACAACCAAGTCGTTGTTTCCTCCACATCGCCTCTTTTAAAACTCTAATAAAATGCCCCCGTCCCCCCTCTCCACCACTCCTCGCACTCCTCCCGCCGCGGCAAAGCCCCGCGCAGGGGCACCCGGTTCCCGGAGCCCGCTGGGGCGATGGAGGGCCCGGGCCGGGGGCTCTGCCCGTCCCCGGTGCGGGACAGTGCGGGGGACCCTGATGCCATGCGGGAACATCCCCCCGCTCCGCAGCCCCTGCGCTTCCCACGGGTGTCCGAGGAGGGGAGTCAGTCCCAGCGACCTCCCCCTCGCTCCCTCCTCACGGCACTTAATATTCAGGAAATCCACAAAGTGGTACGGAGAGAGTGGAAAACGTGACATCACGGGCTAATTGGGAAGGAGCGTCAGGGCTGAGCGAGGGAATAGCTCAGCCCTGAGTAATACGCTACGTTTAATGGTCGGGTAAAGCTTCGGCAGCGGCATTTAAACACGTATCCCTCTAAAAATGATTTTCTGCGAACACCTGGCCTCGTCGGACAGTCTGCCCCTGGAATTATCTTGGAAAGTCCCGTTTAGAGGATGCGGTTTGGTTTGAGCGAAGGCTACAGCCCCTTCGTTTCCCTGCCACACGAAATCCATCGCCCGTCCTCCTCCCTGCTACACCCACTCCGGCAGCTCGCACAGACCGCGTGTCCCC